AAAAAAAAAATGATATGTGTGAATAAGCAGACTACTGGATATGCTAACTTCTCTTATATGCATGTCCTAGTGTACTATGAAGTACTTGCAGAGTAAGAACAATTGAGATTTTCTAGAATGGCTTACTTTTTTAGACTTAATTTTAGGGCATACTAAATTGAAAGATATGCATTAAAATTGAATATTTAAGTCCATCAGAATAATACCCATTTTTAAAAAAAAATTAAAATATGACATTCATTTAATTTTTGATCAAGTACTATCACTTTAAAACACATTTTTCTCACCTTTATAATAACTTGGTATTTCAAATGGGGTCAGAACCCATTAATAATTGCCCTAAAGTAATATTTTGAAAAATGATTTGCTGGAACAATTATAGGGTAATTCAGCCCAATATTACTAATGTCATGCAGTGAATTTTGGTTGTTTGGTAATTTTTTTCTTTTTTCTTTGTAGATTTCTGTGGAAGAATTGGAAAACAGTATTAGTGTTAAAATAGCCAAGGAAGCTGTGATGAATATAAATAAACCTGCAAGTCTTTTTAAGCCTACAAATGGATTTCTGGAAACCAAAGTATACTTTGCAGGACTACCTCGGAAAATGGAGAATGCACTCATTAAACCGGTAATGATCCAAGCTGATGTCATTCTTTATGGATGAATTTCTTGTCTATAATAGAATTGAAGATATGTTTCTCTGAAAGTCAAAAGAAGTTATTTTGTTGAACACATCAACTGTGACAACTTGAATTGAACATGGAAAAGAACCTTAGTGACCCTTGAAATTATATTAATAAAGTAAAATGTAGTGATTTTGTGTCCATTTAAATCTCTAGCATTATTCCTGGAGAACTCAATTTTTAAAATTCTCGAAGCATGAATTCTGTGTTAGCATCATTATAGTCTTTAGTTAGTCATTAAACCTAAGTACACATTTGAGTCCTAAAACACATTTTTTTAAATTTTATAAGTTTATTTTTACATCATTTTGTACATTTTTTTTCCATCTCAATTGTAATTCCCGTGGGTTTCCCATCACCAAGTCACCCATGTGCCATCACCATAATCCCGTGCACTTCCCTCCCCACCCCACCCC